CTGGCAGCTTCTATCTTAACTCTGGTGGTCAGGGTTGTGAATTTCAGCTCCCAGATTGACTTGACATCTTTCAAGTATCTGAGGAAGGCATAATTTATGTAGATGGGATGGCCCAGGCAAAGCTTCTGGTGCATTCTGTGAGAACAGATAAGGAGATGGGAGTGTAATAATGTGGCTGGAGCAAATGAATTGAGGGAGAATGAAATAGAATGTGGTCAGAGAATTTTTCAGGGGTAAGACTATGTGAAGTCTCATAAACCATAGTGACAGATCTAGAATTTGATTCTAAATACAACAGGGCTTAAGATTTGGGCTTTGAATTATGAATGCACCACAGACCTTAGAGATTAGGCTCTGATGTTGGAACTAGTCACGAGTCAGTAGTTTCAGGTATGTGTGTGTATGTGTGTATGCATGTGTATGCACACTGCTGTGACTAAAATCAACCTTAGTACCCTGCCCTCCATACACTAACTTTGCATGATGACCCTGATCTTACCATCTGGTAGAAGGGCTGGATGGTGAGATTTTAATTATTCTTGGTTAAGCTGGTTGACTTTACAAGTTTCTGCTGATTGCTCAGAAATGGATGACAAAGACCAGGCCATTGCAAATCTTTGGAACTCTGTCCCTGGTGCTGACTCCCTGTGTGAGCTCCAGCAAGATGTCCTTGTCCCAGTGTGACAGGATGGCTGGATATACCTGTCACCACCTTTTGAGAAACATCAGAAAGTCAGTTGAAGTGGGTTGGTCTCATTCACTCTCCTGTCTTCTATATTACCAACAAAGCATTCTCTGTATAGCACATATCTAATAAATGTACATTGGCTGGAAAAGATAAATTAATAGCATCGAAAGAGAAGTTTAAGAGAAAGATGCTAAGAAGTCTTTGAGAAAACCCTAGTTATTTATCCTATGTACTTTTCCTTGGTTCACTTTCTTATAGACATATATAGAAGATTGCTTTGGTAGAATTTGGCAAAAAGTTTTATTTTCATGTGCTAAATTTCATTCTCTAGATTACTTCCTATGGAAGACATGTTTTTGTTTTTTTCTCTCCTGATAACAATTTTATCCTTCTGAAAAGAAACTTCTCTCTCTTTATAAAGCTGCAGATGTTGGGTAAGACTTCAGGAAAACTCTCACTAGCCTTTCTCCTCCTACACACACACACACACACACACACACACACACACACAGTTCTAGTAACATATGTAACATGACTGAAACTCCAGTAGGCATTTTTGGTACCATTAAAGAAATATCAGGAGAATCATGGCATAACATATGTAACGTGACTGAAACTCCAGTAGGCATTTTTGGAACCATTAAAGAAATATCAGGAGAATCATGGCATCCTTGACTCTAACATACTTGAGTAACCGAGCCAGAGCAACCCCCCCCATATCAACTTCATTATTACCTAAGTAAAAGAAATCCTAATATGTAGGTCATTTTCTGTCAAATTCAAACCCTGAGAGAGATACGTTAATGCACAGTGTGACATTCCGCCCACTAAAGCAATGAGTGGCAGAGCAACTGTGGCAGCAAATATTCTACTTGCTCCCATACATTTCTCAGCCCTTAGATGGGGTTCTCCACTTGGATTTGGTTAGTAGACTGTCATGCTAATACGTCTTTTCAGGCTGAAGCACAGGAGAGATCTCTTATAGAAAATATGGAGCTAGGAATCAAAGTAGCCTGTATCACGGAGTCACTGGTTGAAGTAGTTGAAGACAACTACTCTGGACAACTCCCTAGACCTATAGTAGACTTCAAGTGAGAAAGAAAGAAGCTCTTGTACCAAGTCACAGAGTTAGTTGAATTTGTTTTTATTCTTATGCCCGCTTTAGCCCCAGTATATCCAGGATCTATGATTGGCCTTGGGAAGCTGTGAATCCCCAGAACAGGATGCTAAATGTTGCAAATATGTGATTATGTGCATCTTGGGTAAGAGAGGATACATAGATTTCAGCATATTTTTAATGTCACTCTGATCTAAAGAAATCATCAAGAACACTCACTTACAGGATAAACTCTTCTGAATGCCACGTGTCTTATATTGGAAGCATTTAAAATGGCTCCTTTGCACTATCCCTTCCTATTTGTCCCAAACTCTCATTTCCATGTAGAAGAATCAATTTGAACTTAGAGTTCAGATGTTTAGGGAAGAGTATAACAAAGAGTTTTTTCTAGCTATATAATCTCATGTAACTTACTTTGCTTCTCTGGGTCTCAGTTTCCTCATCTGAAAAATAGGCAGAATTTTTAAATATGTGTATTATTAATATGTATACTTTTCCACATTAATTTCTAGATAAATATTGTCTAACTTTTACTATAGTCCATATATTTTTACTTAATTGTTTATGTGTAAATGCTCTATCTCTACCCTGACTTTAAGTCCTAAAAAGCTAGAATCAGATCTTATGTTTCATTTTACTTCCTGTAGAGCAGTGATCTCTGCTAGAAATATAATGTGACCTGCAATGTAATTTCAAATTTTCTAGTAGCCACATTTGAATAAGTAAAAAGAGAAAGGAGACATTAATTGTAAATTTTATTTAACCCAATATATCCCTAAATCTATAATTATAACACGTAATCAATATTTACAGATTAATGAGACATCTCATATTCTTTTGCTTGTATTGTCTTTGAAGTCCAGTGGATGTTTTCTACTTACATTGTATCTTAATTCAGACTAGCCACATTAAAAATGCTAGATAATCATATGGTTAATGGCTACCATATTGAACAGTACAGATACAGGGCCTAAAATAATATCTCTTGATTATTGGGTTGATAACTTGTGACTATTGATTGACTATGTTTATTATGGGTTGATAACTTGTGACTCTCCTTTCTAAATATTCTTTTTAAGGCAGACTAATTTATTGACTGCCATTTTTGTATTCTTGATTGTGTTTCATGTGGTATTGATGTTATACATTTTATGGAATACTCTGCCTAGAAATTTCCTATGGATTTTTTTGCTTTCTACTTAAACAAGTGTTCTACTGCTCAACTTACATTATGAGTTCTCCATGGCCCCTATGAGAGTCCTCAGCCTGAAGCAACCTCATCCTTCAAAGTCATATTGTTTATCACACATTATATATCATATAATTTTTCTTATATATTATAGTTGACAACAAATATGTCCTGATGACTACTCACTATTACACTATGGGCTGGAAAAACCATTTCTACTCTTCAGAAATATATGTTGAACTGAGAAGATTATATTTAGAAAGGCCAAAGTAAAGAATACATTTATTTGGTACAAGATCAATGATACAGACCAGTGTTCCCTAAATGTTTCTTTGGACAATAGTTCTATTATTAAGCGCCCTTCCCAAAGAGGTCTCTGGGATTAAATAAAATTCTTGAATTCATATTTAAACAACATTGGAAAGATTTCTGTTAATACAGGACTTCTCCAAGACTTTAAATATGCCTATAAATAGTGTTGTTCTCCAAGAACAGGATAGCACATGCAGCAGTTCCAAAACGTGATTGATTCATCATTTTGTCTCTTGGAGCACTTTATATAATGACTGTTTCATAAAACCTGATTTTATAAATGTTGGCCTAGAACACAATGGGAAAATTAAGAGTTATAACTGGGCTGAGGAGTGTCTTCAAATCACAGAGGAAGATTCCCAGGATAGGTAGGAAGATGTGGAGGTGGAGAGTTTGAATACCAACCTCAGGAAGGTTTAAAACAGCGGCTGTGCTTTTGGTGGTTGTGTAGATGTTTTACACAACCTCTTTATCTCCTGAACATTTTATCCATTTTCTCAGTTTATTTGCTCATCCTATTTCCTCAGTCTGAAAATCCCTTCCCGCCTTTTCCCTCTTACAAACACTCTTCTGAGCACTCAAGACCCAGTTTAAATGCTTTAATATGTCTCTCTAATTTCTTTCCAAATGTGAATTCTCCCTTCCTTTGTGACCCTTGCTCTTTTATAGTTTAAACACCCATTAATGTCAGGTCATAATTATTGATATCTTTGTATTCTGCATGAAGTCTTTTGTACTTTTTATTCCTGATTGCACTGAACCTAGAATTTTGTACACACTTGTCTTCAAAGGCATGCATTGAATGGATAAATGAATAAGTAGGAACTTGAATGTCTTGTTATTTTTATATAGACAGATCGGAAACTTCATCAAGCTGGAACTGTGTACCCTATTTTTTAAAATAAACTTTTAATTTTAGATTAGTTTCGGTTTTACAGAAAAGTGCAAAGATAGTAGAGTTTCTATATCCTGTACACTGAGCTTTCTCTATTATTAACACGATAAATTAGTGTGATGCTATTGTTATAATCAATAGACTAATATTGCTACATTATTACTGATGTTTTAATAAAAATTCATTCATTATTTATATTTCCGATTTTCTTGAATGTCCTTTTGCTTACGGTATCCTGTTTAGGCTACCATGTTATATTTAGTTGTCATATCTCCTTACACTGTGATGGTTTGCTATACTTTTTTTGGGGGGTGGGGGTTTGCTATAAGGCATGTGCACTCACCAGACAGACTGAGAAAGACAGAGACAGAAAGCGAGAAATCACCCTCCAGGGGAGATGGCCACACCCCAATCCCTTCTCCTCCATTCTCCTCTCGGGATCTTGGGCACTCACGCACATATGCCTGCAGTGAGTTTAAGCCGCGGGGTCCGGGACGCAAACCACAGTCCACTACATGGGAGTCCAGTGACACAGCCATTATGCTAACTGCTAGTCCCTGTTATACTTATTTTTGATGACTGACAGTTTGAGGAGACTGGCCAGGTTTTTTTTTTTTTTTTTTTTTTGAATTTTTTTTTTTACTTATTTTTTTTTTTTTTTTTTTTTTTTTTTTTTAATTTGACCAGAGAGAGAGAAAAAGTGAGAAGTCATTATTTATCATAATCCTGTTGGCCTCTGAGCTAGAGATGTTATATTATGGGTTTTTGCATTAATATTTTAAGAATTCCTAAGGTGATGTTAGATTTCCACACAACCTCACTTCTAATTTTCAGGATTTGTAGCAAATTAGTAGAGTTCATTCCTTGCTTTACTGTGGTTACATACATTATGGCTAGTTTATTTATCCTGAATGGTGCTCTAAAAATGTTGAAAGAAATGAAAGTTTCTACAGTGGTTGAAGCTATCATTTCCAACCCTCCCCGGATATCAGTCTCACAGGCACTGCCGAGGCACCATTTCAGCATTTATCTCCTTTGTTGTAATTGGGTATCCAAGAATGTTTTTTTTTCATTACATATCATAATCATACAGTCGGGTAGAGAAAAGAAATAAGAAACATACGTTAAATTGTTTTAGAAAGTGAAAATATTTAAACGTTTAATTAGAACTTATGTGTATATTAAATTATTTTTTGTGAAAATAACTAATATTACCAAACACTGTTTACTTTTTACAGCAACAAGCATTAGAACTAGCTTTGGATCGTGCAGAGGTGAGGCATGACTAAGTTACCTATTGAAATAATGTCTTCCATTGAAAAAATACCCTCAGTTTTAAGAGATTTCTTTATGTGATTTTTCTAAGAAGTATATTATTAGGGCAACTATACAAATAATTTTACTGTAAAAATATTAGGACATTGGAAAGACATGGAGTATTTTTCTGTGTTCTTCTATGCAAAAATACTTCTTGACTCATGATGACCCAATACCATATGATGTTCAGTTCTTCTGTTATTTGGAGTTCTTAAGATGATAATGCTGTGGAATAAAAATCACTTGGATAAGGACATAGCATTTCTAATATATTTTTGTTTTGACAAATTTTCTAATTACTTAGTCGAAGGGCAGAATAGTTTTCAAAATAAAGTCCTTACAATTAAATATATGATTTTTAATACATGAAGCATATTCAGAACAACCAGAAAACATAGAGATTATTTCTGACCTGTGAAATGAGAGTTCTGGAACTATATGATTTTATTTATGCCATAGTAGTGAAATAATACACCTAATCTTAGTGCAGTTGGAGTTTCCCTTATTTGTAACATATTTAGACATTAAGTAGTTTTTGTTGCAAAGTTTAATTCAACATGTTAGAGACTTAAGTGATGGAATAGTTTTTTTTCAGCCTGCATATATTTTAGATAGACTTAATACAGATACACAAAGCAAAAGGCAGCTTATTTTCATAAACTTTTCTTTTCTAGTATGTCATTGAAAGTGCCCGGCAGAAACCTCCTAAAAGGAAATACTTATCTAGTGGAAGGTATGAAAACTTAATAATATCTTCAATTCATTAAAATATAATGATAGTCACCATTTATTGCTTTCCTATTGGACACTGAGCTAGAAATGTTGTTGGTTCTTTCTGAATATTAGGAATTTCTAAATTGATACTGGCTGCCTTATTCCATCCCAGCCCACTCCAAATTTTTGAGAAACTGGGGGAAAATATTGAAAGTTTGAGAAAAAATTGAACTTACTTCATGAATATTAACATTTTCTGTATCATCTTTGTCTTACCCATTTTTATTTTAGAAAATCTGTATTTCAAAAACTTTATGACTTGTATATTGAAGAATGTGAAAAAGAACCTGAAGTTAAGGTAAATATAAATTTTTTATGTTATTGTGAGTTTTGTAGAAGAGGAAAAATAGGAGTTACATTTGAAGCATTTAATGCTTTATATTTTTATGGGTGAATTAAACGTCTTTTCTGACGACTCTCTAATCAGTTTTGCAGCTTACCAGAGTCCTGGTTAATCTGGCCTCAGATAGAAATCATCTATTGAGGTAGAAGTAGCAGAATAGTGAGGAAAAGAGTATCTCATGGGAGTCAAGAAAGCCACAGTACATATTTTTGTTTGTTTTTAAAGTTTATTTGTTTCCTTAGAGAGGAAATGTCATCCTTCATTCATTATTTATATTTCCGATTTTCTTGAATGTCCTTTTGCTTACGGTATCCTGTTTAGGCTACCATGTTATATTTAGTTGTCATATCTCCTTACACTGTGATGGTTTGCTATATTTTTTTTGGGGGGGGGTGTTTGCTATAAGGCACCAGACAGACTGAGAAAGACTGAGACAGAAAGCGAGAAATCACCCTCCAGGGGAGATGGCCACGCCCCAATCCCTTCTCCTCCATTCTCCTCTCGGGATCTTGGGCACGCACGCACATATGCCTGCAGTGAGTTTAAGCCGCGGGGCCCGGGACGCAAACCACAGTCCACTACATGGGAGTCCAGTGACACAGCCATTATGCTAACTGCTAGTCCCTGTTATACTTATTTTTGATGACTGACAGTTTGAGGAGACTGGCCAGGTTTTTTTTTTTTTTTTTTTTTAAGTTTTTTTTTTTTTTTTTTTTTTTTTTTTTTTTTTTTGAGAAAAATTTCACCTCGTCAAGGCAGGAGGGATGACCATACCACAATTCCTTTTCCTCCATTCTCCTCTCAGGATCTTGGGCATGCACGCACTTGCGCCTGGCGTGAGTTTAAGCTACCAGGTCCGGGACTCAAATCACAGTCAGCTACATGGGAGTCCAGTGACATAGCTGTTATGCCAACTGCTGGTCCCATGGCCAGGTATTTTTTAAAACAGTCCTCAATGAAGATTTTTCTGATGTTTTTCTCATGATTACATTGGGACTACAGGTTTGGAGAAAGCAGATTGTAAAGGTAAAATGTTGTTCTCTCATATTTTCAGGGACACATGCTATTAACATAGCTTATCACTGTTGATGTTAACCTTAGTTACCTATTTGAACTAGTGCTTATCCTTTCAAAAATTTCCACAATGACCAATATTGCTTCTAGCAAAGCAATAGCTTACTAAAAACAAAGTTGAGATGTCATACCTGTGTTCACAGCATCTAGCATTGATTTCAATACAATGAAGTCATATGACTCGTGTTTGGAAAATAAAAAAATAAGCAAAAGAATGAACATATGGGTGCTTTTCATTGACATATATTCCACATGGTTCCTAGCATTTGCAGATTCTCTGGGACAATAAAGCTTTATTATGAAAAAAGATGCAAAGCTAGAAACCCACTCAGAAGAGATTTGTCCTAGATGAACAAATAATATTCAATGTATATGATCAAAATAGTGCAACTTAGGGTGCTGTCCACACCATCTATTCACAGTTTTGAGCAGTAGTGAAAACAATAGCCAAGTAGTCATTCTAATATCATTCTGGGAAGGAAATAATGACATAAGAGACAGTCTGTTTGACAATCCAAGCAGCCTGGTCAAGATGAAGTCTACATTTGCACATTGTCCCCCACACTCAGATCTCTCCTAAGGCTGAGCAGGTTGAATTGCCACCCAAGAAGCTCCTTTGGTAAAATAAAGAAAAAGAAAATAAGAATCCAGTGAAAGTTATTCACAACAGAAATTGTTAACAGGTTAAGAGACAGTAGAAAACTATGAAGAACAGGGACCAGCAGTTAGCATAATGGCTGTGTCGCTGGACTCCCATGTAGTCGACCGTGATTCGCATCCTGGACCCGGTGGCTTAAAACTTACACCGAGCATGTGTGCATGCATGTCCAAGATCCAGAAAGGAGAATGGAGGAGAAGGGATTGTGGCATGGTCATCTCCCTGGGGGGTGATTTCTCGCTTTCTGTCTCTCTGTCTCTCTCTGTCTGGCGAAAACTTGTCCCCCTCCCCCAAAAAAATAGAAAAAGAAAACTATGAAGAACAAGCAAAATTAAAAAGAGAGGAGGTAATCAAGGGAAAACAAATATATTTTCAGGTGACACTACAGAGTGAGTGATTTTAAAAAGGAAAGACAGGGTCAACAAGTGGCATGGTGATTAAGACTCTCACGTGGTTGACCATAGTTCCAATCCAAGACCCAGCAGCTTGAAACTCATGCTGTATGCAGGTACATGTGTACCCAACATCCCAAGAGGAGAATAGAAGAGAAGGGATTGTAAAGGTAAAATGCTGTTGTAGCATGTCCATCACCCCTAGGGAGTGATTTCTCACTTTCCCTCTCTCTGTCTCTCTCTGGTGAGTGCACACACTCTATGGAGAAAAAAAGCCATAAAGTAAATAAATAAATATAAAAATAAAAAGGAAAGGGAAAAATCTTGCCCAGTAGTCCAGTAGTAAAGCCCTGTACATAGAAAGGCAGACCTCACATGGCCAACCATGGTTCAAATTGTGCCCTGGTGGCTTGAAAAACATGGTAGTCATGGATGTGTGTGCCCCACATTATTATGGAATAGAGAAATGAAGGAATAAGGATTGTGGTGTGATCATGTCCCTTATGATGCTCTCTCTGTCTGGTATGTACCCACATCCTTTGGCAATAAACTAAAAAGGAAGGGAAAGA